ACGTTCTTGCCGTGTTTATGTTTTTCTTGTTCACCATCTACACATATCAACCATCATGGTTATTTTTTAATTTTCACATGTTGGACGAAATGGAAAAGAAAAAAAAACTTAATCCGAATCCGTAAAACATGTGCATATATGATGTTTGATGATTTGAATCTTGAATTTTTTCGTTTTCCGTGAATTTATAGCCTTTCAAACGATGTGCAATTATCTCTATATGCTGTGTTAGTCGTCGTGTGTTTCATTGAATTTCATTCGATTTGTGAATCTGAGACTTGCAATCATAATCATAATCATAATCAACTTTGATAATTGGCTTATTGAGCGACTACAAAGACTACAACCACCCAATCCAAGTAAGTCCAGTTCATTTGTTCTGCTTTTCCGGTTACGATTGCCCAAGATTTGATTATCATTTCACTTAATTGTTTGTTTGTTTGCTGAGTTTCCAGTCATATTTGTCGGAAATTTGTCCCGTTTTTTTTACCAACACCACCGAAAATTCACAATCAGTCCCAATTTATTTCTGCCCTCAATTCGTTTTTATTTTCTTCACACACACACACACACATTGCTGTCTTTCGAGACTCAGGTCAAACTGTGACCTTGGTCTGTCTGTCTGTCTATCTGTATGTGTGAATAGCATGACTGTCTTTAAGAAGTGTCTACCTCTTAACCAGTTATTTATTTAGCATCCACATACAATTGTCGACCTTGATGCGAGAGAGTTGAACAAAGACAAAAAAAATCGATTGAATCAGATAAACTCTTTGTTGCCATCGATAAGTGACCTTCAACCTCTTGTTTGGAAGGTTACGACATTATTCTATTGTTATGTGATGAAATCCTTCAAGTTCATTAACGTCTCTGATGCTAATGCTAAGCCATAATTCAATTGGGTCAATAGTGAGTCAATTTTTTCTTCATCTAAACACTCGAAAGGAAATGTTCGAGGCCAAACTAAACGGTTAAAAAAACGGTTTGAGTCGTTTGAATTTGAAATTTGATGATGCCAATTATCTGGCTGATCGTTAGTTTCTTAAGAAAGACGATTATTGAACATCCACACACACACACACACACATAAACAAAAACACAGGTGGTTTCCATCCGATACACACAGTCATCATGATTGTGTCATTACATCATGAACGTAATTGACAACATGTCGGTTGGCATTACATTTCTGTTGTCTTGGAAGACATTCGTAAGAAACAAAAAACCAGACGTAAACCAAGGACATTGGCTGTTTCTTTTTGTCTGTAGATTGATTGATGGTGTGGTAGTTAGTCCCTGTTGCGTGGGTTCAATCAAACGATAAAGAAGAAAATGGAAATAAAACGGCTGCCTTTTCTCGATTGACATTCCATGGTTCCATTGTAATTGTATGTGGATGTGTTGCATGTGTGTGTGTGTGTGTGATGGACACAAGGCCCATTGTCCATTGTATTGTTCTCTCATTGTACGGGCCGGTAAATATCAATTGAGCGTGGGCGATGTGACATATACCACACACAGGTGGCTTTATTTCTAGAAAATGTCATTGTTGAAAAAATTGAACAATTGAAAAGTTACAGATGCTACGAATTGTCGACCGTATCCTTGGCCCAGAAAAAATGAAATCCTAAAGATTTCCATCCATTTCACCCACACATACACACACATCATGTATGTCCATATGGCAATGGACCAATATGCATCCAAAAATTTTGTCAAGATTTATGTCACCCTCGCTCACCTAATGTGACACTCGGCTTTCAAAGATTAATCGCCGCCTGTATCAAAATGTCTATCTCTGTTTGTGTTTGCCTGTTGTTTAAGTGTTTCAAATCATAAATACTACATATTACCCTCAATGCATCCATCCATCGATCGGAGCGAGATTTTCGTTTTATTTTTTTTTTTTTTTTTTTGATTTCATACGAATCCAGAGTGTCTTGCTCGCGAACAGCAACAGCTGCTTGTTGTCTCATTCATTTCAATTCACTCACTCTCGATCAGTCTGTAGTTTTTACTTTTTTTTCATTTTTGATTGTAGTCTTTCCATTGTTTCAAACGAAAAAACAGAAAAACCGAAACAAGCAACACTTGGCTTGTGTTTTTCCTGTGTGTGTGTGTGTGTGTGCCACGAGCCATAGCACGTGCACGTTGTATGCGCTGCTAAGAATGAAAAACAAATTATAGCCTTCTAAACCGAGACGATCAAGTATTTGGTGTTGATCATCATAATAATTGTGACCTAATTTTTTTTTGGTCCTCATGAAATTCAACCATTTTATTTGGACAATTTACCGTTTCGATTTCCATTTTGGGATCAAAGTCAGACGACTATAATTGATTGTCAAACACTTAGAATGGTCCCGAACTAAGAAACTAGGCCAATGACCACCAGACAGATCAAAATGGTGATACCCTTTTACCTCTGTGTTTACAATCCGTTATTCGCGTGTCTTTCTCAATCTTTACGGTCAACACAAGGTCCGGTCAATCTATATCTACTCATTTTATTCACTTTACCTGTACAAATAAGATCTGACCGGCTTGACCTATGACCGATCGCATAATGATCCGTTATCGCCGATATTGATAAGCACACTCATTCATAAGGAACCCGGTGTTGTCTGACCTCTTTTCATTTTTTTTCTGGTTAACATAGCGGGATCTTGATGACAATACAATATATTCCGAACAAAGAAAAAAGGAAGAAAGAAAAGGTCAACTCTTGAATGACATGACCGATTGTGTTTGTGTATATGCGCGTGTCTGTCATACTCGCGTGCCTGAACTGTTTTCGCATTTACCTCTTGGGTCACCATATTTTCATCATCATACATCTGGTCTGCCTGATAAAATGTGAAAATGGTCTTTCTGACCGGACTTTGGACACAAGCACACGACAGATGCTGTCCGTTTATAGTATTTGTGTCATTATTGATCATTACCGTTATTTTTATGATGAAATTGATTCACAAAATAAATTAAGCAAATTAATTAGATGGGAAAACAAGGTGATTTTGATTACAAACTGCCTAGGTGTAACTTTGATGAACTTTTTTTGTTTTTTGTTTTCGGTTTTTCGACACTTTTGCATTGTTCGTTATCTAAACTAGTGTGTCTAACTAATCTAAGTGAATGAATGAATGAATGAATTTGCAGAACTGTATCGTTATTCTAGAACTGGGCGTCATCACTAATATCATCGACTTTTCTTTGTCTTTTTGTAATTTCATGATTACGATTACGATGATGGTGATGGTGATGGTGATGGAGGAAAGCAATCACACACACACACTAAGATCCTGGTGTTTATAATAATGATGATTCATTAATGCGACACCATGCAAATATTTTACATGACTTTAGTCATATATCCAATATCCAAGTTGCCATTTCAGATCTAACCAGTCATCATCATCATCATCATCATCATCATCGTAGTCGTCTAACAATAACAAATCATTGCTTGTTGTTGTTTGGTGAGAAATAATGTGCATGAATTGAGGGCTACTAAAAATGAAGAAATCGTCGTTTGTCGTCATTGTCGTTGTTGTTGTTGTTGTTGATAGAACAACAAACAATTCGGGACGAATGAAAATGATGGAGCAAATTATGATTTGTGTGCATTCACTGATGGCTTTTCTGTCTTTATGCATGATAATCAACATAACAATGTATGATGGCCACCTCGTTTTCTTCCGTGTTTTTCGTTTCGGATTCATGTTTAGCTTAGTCTTGTTCAGTGTTTGTTTAATCAACAACATTCGATTCGATTCTAGGTCATCCTAGTGAGAGATAGAGTTGATTATTCATCATCAAGATGCTTCTCAAACACAGAGCCATTCGGTTGAGAAATGCACCTGTCATCTGAATAGATGGATAGAATATAGATGGGCAGCACACTATTCCAATTCGAACATTATCGTCATTACATTATTGATTGAAATTGAGCAGAGTTTTACTTTTTCTTTCTCTTTGTCGTTGTCTTTGTTTCGGCCATCTTGTGTGTTGTCTCTCTATCACTATGTCTGTCCAACCATTTTTAGTTCCGTTTTAGTGTTTTGCCACGCCTAAAACTTATGGCAAAAAAAAGAGAAGTATCTGAAGGATTGTTTCTTGGCGTCACTCAGACGACGACAATGTTTTTCGTCAGATATTCTTTGATCGTAGCTCACAGTCTCAGTAGTGGCGTTTCACTTTGTACTTTTCTATACACACAACAATTCTTTCTGCCTTGGTGCTACCATCCGTTTCCACACACACAAACAAAGACAATGCCTTAGTGCTTGAATGGCTCCACACACACACACACACACACACACACACATCCAGCCTACTTCTTGCTTTTCTAGAATTTCTTTTTTTCCTCAGCACATCTTTGGCTTCTTTTCTTTGTTGTACAACAGAAAAATAACCAGAAAAAACGCCTTCTTTCATGAACGCGCCTTCTCTCTTTCATTCATTGTTTATTATTGTATTCAATGAGTACATGACCATCTTAGTGATATGGCAACAAGATGGCTACCATCTGTGGTGGCCATCATTATCAGGATGAAATATAGGAATCATATGATAATGATGGTCGTTGTTAGGCGCTATGCAACAACAAGACAGATTAGATGTACCAAATTTCATTATTTGTCACATTTGTATATGCACACACACACACACACAATTCCTGACTGAAATAATGATGGTCGTCGTATCGTATCTAACGTGAGAGAGTGAGGCTTATTTTCATTACATTAGAAGTACATGATGTATATGCTGATGGATAGATAAATGGCATCCGATTTACTACTTACTGCTGCTAGATTTTGATGTTGTTGTTGGGCGCCATACATTATCCAATATACAACTGGCTACTATGACATGAAAAGATGATATTTGAAAAATGAAAAAAAAACAAAAAACAAAACTAAGCTATCAGCCACCACCACTACCGAACCTTAGATCATCACACACACACACACGCATATTTAGTTAGCCTGCATCCATCCAACTATTGATAATAACATTCGATTTACACGAGAAAAAATGCAGCCAGGAGCATCGAGAAATCAAAAATGAGAATGCATTGTATGCATGCGCGCAATTCATATCAGTTGAAATAAAGCAACAAAAATGAGAGAGATTCAAGAGAATGAGATGGATGGCACACACACACACACAAAACACACATTATGTATTCGTATTACCAGTGGTTTGTCATTCCGAAAAGAAATCATCATTATTTAGACGCCACCGATGATGATCAGAAAGAAAACAACCAATTCATTTGTTGCCTCGATCTTGATGTAGTCACAGTGTGTATATGGTCATCATTATTTTAGTGAATTTTGACATTTTATAATCGAATGCATACTACCACCACGACAACAACAATGAATAAATCGACCACCATCATAATGATCAAATAGACATTTATCTCTCTCTCTCTCTCCATGTCTATGTCTATCTGATGTTAACACAACATTAGCCATCCATCTCTATATCAACAATATTGCTATTGTGAACTGAATGATTCAGGCGAATCATCATCATCATCATGATGATGATCGACCAACACCGAATACGAATGTGAATGAACCCACAAAAACTACATCGAACTACGAACCACAACAACAACAACAACAACAAACATGGACAAAGTGAATGTTTGAATTTGTTGCCAAAATCACCACAATTCAATTCTTATGCTTGTTGATTGAACAGATCGGAAATTGATGGTCATTCGACAATCTCAACCATCAGCAGTAGTGTAGTGATTGCAATGATTATGTGGTACCATCATGCTTCTTATCACACTCATTATCATTCATCCATTCCAACTTTGAAACCCTTATAATTTATTCAATTGTTTTTCATTCAAGTGATCCATTCATTTAATCATTAATCGATTGTTTCAAAATACAACCATCAGGTGAGTTTTTTTCCAACATCATCTTGTGACGCCTTTTCAGTGCTTCATTTGTTGTCTTTTTTGCAAGACAAGTGTGTGTGTGCATGCATTAATGTCTGACCTTTGAAATGGAGTCAAAGTCTATATGTTGTGTGTTGAGGTTGATTTCTTTCAGGAATAAATTGGCCAAATCGGTCTGCATTCGATTCACGCATCAATGTAAATGTATGTCTACTGCCACTTGTTGCTATGAGCGTTCTTTTTTCTTTCATTCGTTTTACACTTGTTTTCGTTTTGGTTTAAAAATTGAAAATTTCTAAGGAGCGATATAGGTCTCATTTTTCCAAATTATAATGACAGCAGCCACACACACACACACACACACAGAGATAGAAAAACGGAGAGAAACGAGCATCAAACATTTCTATCTAGTCATGTCTTGTGGGATGGAAAGATGTTTTCCCTGGCAACTCAGGAGTGGTCAATCACGCACACTGTCCAGTAGCAACTACTTGATTACTATAAGATCACAATGATGATGTCCATCCATTGTCTTTGAATGTGATCGATCGATGATGTGATTTCGTAATTCATTTTTGCATGACATACATACATTTTTCGATTTTGAATCATAATAATAATAATAATAACTTGAACATGATGTGAATAGTTTCGTTTCCAACATTTATTTTTCATCCTGTTTTCTGCAACTGGCTCCCAAAAATACATCCGTATCCAAAAAATACATACATTAAGGCCATTGTGTGTGTGTGTGTTTGTTTGGATGGATACCTTGGGTGGAGATTTGAATATAACCATCATATTATGATGATGATGATGATGTAGTCATTCTTTTCTAAACAATAATCATTGCCTTTTCAGATAATGTCAATAAAGTTTGTTTTTTGCTTATGATTCGCCCTAACGATGTGTTCTCTCCATTGAAACATCTCTCGTCGTAAACACACATCAATCCAAGGCAAACAGAGCGCATCCCAATTTTGTGCTTATTGTGTTTAATGTAACTGGTTGATTGTAGTCTCATTTCGTCGGTGATGACAATAACGGCATTGAATAGCTACTGTTGTCGCTGTTTCTGCCAATGGGCGTCATCCTGTGTCCTTATGAAAGCTAATTAAGTTTCCAATTTCACACACACCGGAACTTATCTCGTCCACCAAATACACAATAGATTTACTGGGCTGAACTGAATCCCCGATGATGATGATGATGATAGACATAGATGGCTTGCTTAGCTCAACTCTTTTACCTCTGTCGCTGACCTTTGACATGTCTGTCTTTTATCTAGTCTGTCTGGTATACCAATACTAACCGGATTTCGATTCCATCCTGCATTCATTTATTCATTCATTCATCATAAGGCCATTTGTGTGTATATGGTGTAATGTGCATTACATAGATTTCTATGAACGGATGTGATCATGCCACATACAATAGCTCTCTCTCTCTCTCTTTATCTTTATACGTGTCTTGATTGCTGTACTGCCACGTGTGAAGGAAATGCCTTCTTTCCTGTGTGTCTGTGTGTGTGTGTGTGTGTAAAGTTAAGAAATACTTCTTGATCATAGATTTTCGAGGTCAAATGAAATTGTTGTATATCTCATTGTGTCACTGGGTCTCAGGTCGACAAACTTACCAATATATATATGTGTGTATGTGTGTGTGTGTGTGTGTGTTAATGCATATGACGTGAAGCAATTGGCTTGTAAGAAAGTGGCCGAATCACTTGAGCTAAGGAAATAGACTTGTCATTGTTTGTTGTTGAAATTAAGTTGACATCCGTTCAACACTTGCCACGTTACTTGGGCATCTCTCTTCATATGTCGATATGTCACATGATCGTTATGTCTTAGTTATGAACAGGCACACTTGTTGTTGTTGAGCAAACATTCACCAAATGCAAATTAGACTCATTATTACTATATGGTCATTGTTGGCAAATATTTGCTTAATTACACTATGATTATTACCGATCGCCCATTGTCCATTCTTTGTCGTACGTCTGACATACGCCAACACACTTTTGTGTATAGCAAACAATGCGATGCTTAAGATGGTCAAATATTTGAATAAACCACACAGGTAAAATCTCACTTTTTAATTGGCCAAAAAAAATTGATTGAGTAAAAGTGATGTGATAGTTAGTTAGCAATAGTCCTTGAACCCTGTGTTCTTAGAAATGCCAATATTGCATTCGTGTGTGTGTGTGTGTGTGTGTGCGAGTCTATATCGGATGTATGGAGGGGTAATTAGTGCTAAAACAAACAAGCAATAGACATTCGATCATTTTGCTTGATTCGTCGTTATTGCTGTTCAATATGATGATGAGGTCCATTCAACTCTAAAATGGCAATGGCCAATCTACAATTTCCTCGAATCGAATATGAATTTGATGTAGCCATGTTGATGGTGATGAATACATTAAGACGAACGACCATCGCTCTATTATTATCCGGTCTACACGACACGACAACAAAACAACCGTTATCGGGTTTGGTTATTGATTTCATTTCATTTCATTTCATTTCACTTCATTTGGGCTGGGCATCGTATAATGTTTGTGTAAATCGGATGAGACAAAATATAGCGCAAACATCATCATCACCATACTAATAATAATTTGACCAACAAAAGTCATCAACGAAAGCATCTCTTTTGGTTTGTTTCGTTTCATTTGTCAACCACCGTATTGCACACCTAGCCCCGTTGTATTATATGACTGTTTGTGCTTGTTGATTGTTATTTTCTGTTTTGTGTGTTGTGTGTTGTTTGCTTGATTGTGGCTAATAATAAATGAAATTCGCTACTCATAGTCCAATTATTCAACAAATGTCAGCTTCCGGCGCCTTTTCAATGATGATCGAAACTCATCTAACTGTAACGCGAAAACAACGACAATCATCATCATCATTTGGATGTTGTGTGTTCCCACGCACACCTTTAGTCCAATTCAATCATATGGCTAGCATATCATTTGTTGTTGCTTTCTGCTTGTCTTGTCTTGTCTTCAATATTCATTCAGCGAAAACACACAAACAACCGGATCCACTTGTGTCGTTGTTAATGGACAAACGCGTGTTGTTACAATTCTCATAATGATAAGACAAGTTTCACCATCTCAGTCTGGTCAATGTCTAGGCGGCAATTGAAGCAATTCGATTTGCTTCATTTACCATCTCATTCAGCACATTCACACACACACACACACCCGGTCTCTTTATCTTTGTCCTCTGGCCAATGGTTGTAATTACAGTGATGATGATCATGATTGACCACTACTTAGGTCAAGTTTTTTGGCCACGTGTCTATTGATAGCCTTTGGGCGAAATTACCCTACAGAGTCTCTTACTTTCTTGGCTTTTACCAATCTTGTTTCTGTCTGTCTGTCTGTCCGTGTGTATGTATTGAATCAATCCATGATTGCATTTGGTTGATGCTGGACTAAATTTAATTTTATTTAAGCCAATCAAATTTAATCCACTAGTTTACCGAAAAATTTAGTATGTAGTTTGCAGTTAATATTGATATCGTTGTGTTGAAAAATAATAAAATTCGTAAAAACCTCCGACCGTTCTTTTTTTTATTTTTTTTTTGTTGAAAATTTCATTACCGTAAACGCAAAGTGAGCGAGAAAGATGTCGGATATTAATATAGCTCTAATTCTTATACCGGATATTGATGATGAAAATTTTTTTCTCCATTCACCGATTCCAGGATTTAGTCAGCCTAGTTGGCTACTGATTTATTTGTTTTTCTACTGACTTTAAAGCAACAAAGAAATACAATGGAAATTGTCAAATTCACTGATGAGGCATTAGACTTCCGAAAGAATCGGCTAATTAATTAGTCAACACCAAACGCGATACACGATAATAGACAGTCAGGCCGGAACTAACTAGCTTGCCAAGAATGAAATGAGTTTTCACTCGATCACCTTAGCCTCACCCAAAATATAGACGATGATGGTGAACACACAAGAACGTACGTGTTACGCTTGGCTTGCCCGTAGCCAAAGTCAAATCATTCATCCATACCAAAGGTCTCATCATTTATGTCGTCGTCGTCGTTTGACGCCCAAATCTGATGATGAAATCTTGTTCCGTCTCTCATTAAAAATGTTCTTTGTCTTTGTTCAATGTCAACAAACACAATGGACAAAGATAATGACAGTTTCTTGGCAATGAACAATGAACAATATACCGGAACCTGAATAAACCCCGTTATACTAATTGTTTTCTTTTCTTTTCTTTTCTTTTTTCGACCAGGTGATTACCAACATAAATCAATCATTGTCATAAATTACCGGGTTGAACAAGCCCGACAAAACCGAAATCACAACGGATCATTACTACATGAATCGTTTGGCTAGTGGTGAACAAGTGTTGAATCCATTCAATCATCATCGATTGTCCATAGCCAACAACGTAACAAATTTTACAAACAGTTCACCGTACGCCTCTTGGATCCGTCCAACAACCCGAAGTGTCCTTAAACATCATCATCATCAACAACAACAACAACAACAACAGCAGCAGCACAACAGTTTCCCATTGGATTCATCGTCATCAATACGAAATATCGTTATGCCTCATCACCAGAATCTACATCATCATAGTGGACATCATCACCAGTCTTCGGCGGCCGGTTCAGCATCCTCATCATTGGCTTCATCATCTTCATCATCTTCGTTAGCATCGAACAATAATAATAAACCGGTCAAAATGAAACGAACTCGACAACGTGTCGATGCTGGTGAACCACGTAATAGCTATGCTAGTATAGCCAATTTCTCATCACGCGGTGGTTACCATGGTTATAATAATCATAAATATGGATCCAACAGCAACAACAGTGGTAACCATCACCACCATCATCAACAACATCACCATCATAATCAGCGAATGTCGAATGAAGCATCTTCAGCCGCATCAAATGGAAACAATCTTCATGCGAATCGTCTAGCTGGTAACAGTGGCAGCAATAATCACAATTTCAATTATCATTCAATGTCCGATGTTACCGCTATGAGCCAGCATCATCATCAAATGTCAGATATGGCTACATCACATCACCACCATCCATCATACAACAGTGGTGTTTGTGGCAATAGTAATGCTAGGAAAAGTGTGCTCAGAGATTCATCATCATTTTACCCTGGCCACCGATCATCGTGTGCCACCACCGATGCAATCATGGAACATCAAGCCACGTTGTTTCAGCAATTATGTCAACAGAGTCCATTGGCTGCATTCATGTCGGCTAATCATCATACACCAACACCACAAACGCCGATGACCACAGCAGCACCAGGGTCAAATAAATCTCCACCATTTCCCTCATCTATCAACACCAAGTTTGCCGGTGGGCAACAACATCCTTCAACTACATCGTCAACAACGATGATGGCGGCTGCAGATCAATTCAACACTACCGGTACTGGCTATAATCAAGCGGCTGCATTTCTAACGCAATTACAATCGTCAATGAATCCCAACAATGATAACAATATGGCCATGGCAGCCAATTTCTTGAACAATCTACAGGCAAATGAAATTGCAGCAGCAGCCGCTATGGCTAATTCCTCTTTGTTCAATGCAAATAATGTGGCTGCGGCTGCCGCTTTCGATGCTCAATTATTACGAGATATCCTCGAAAGTGGAGCTGCAGCCGCTGCTGCTGCTGCTGCTGCAGTTTCTACAGCGAATAACAACATTACTACGAATAGCCTGGTTGCAATGCAATCGAATGTAGAATCGAAAGATAAAACACAACTAGCGTCCAGCAATGAGCAATCACTACATTCATCCAAACATTCTTATCCATTGTCAACAACCAACGATGCTAGTGAACTGAACAAATCATCTCGTAATGGCTCTGTATCGACCGGAAATAAACACAGATTCAGTGTCGACGATCTAGATGGCTGTGCGAGAAACCTTTTATTTGATTATATAGCCGATCCAAATATTAATTCGATCAATCTGATGGAACAATCTTGTCTTGGAACCTCATCGACCCCATCATCAACGACAATCCACGATGAACACGCGATCAACAATGATCCTACTGCTGCTGCTGCTGCTGCTGGTGGTGGTTCGGAAGAAAAGAATCGTCAACGAACAGACGACGACGATCAGCTAGCCAAGCAAGTGGATCACCAAAGCCATGAGGCCAATGATTATGCTGTTGTCTACGACGACGATCCAGTTAAGCAAGCCGAATCATCACATACTGAGAATAATAATGATCCTAAGATGATAAGAGCTACAAGTCTTGCCGAAAGTAGTGGTATTGATGACAACAACAACGACGACGACGATGATGATGATGATGATGATTGTCGTAGTGAAGTGGTGGTTACACCAACAACAGCCGATGATGATATCGAACGGGACGGAAATCTGGTTAAGGAGGAGCGACGTATAACTCGTGGTCGACCTCCGTTACATTCATTACACAGCAATGCTGTTGTAACACTGTCACAACAGCAAACACGATCCAATCAATGTACGACGACAACAGTGAACAACAACAGTAGCTTAGGATCGACCTCCTCTTCATCAACATCATCATCGTCGTCATCTCCATCGGCTGAGGAAACTATTTCTTTAGGTGAGTTTGTCGTCTTTGCATTCATTCATTGCTTACATCTCGTTCGATGTAGATCGTTTTTCATCTTTGTCGGCAAACCGTAAACAGCAACAACGAGATTCGAATTGTGACCAAGACGTCGTCAACGACGATTACATAGAAAACATCCAAAATAATTCGATTGATCGTTCAAACGAAAACTTGTGTTCGAATATGCTATTGGAAACGGTGCCCAACACCAACACTACAGTAACCAGCATCAATAATCGACTAAGAAGTCAGCCAATGATGAAATCCGATATTGATGATGATGATGATGTTGAAACCGCTAATGGTGGACATCATCCTGGTGGTGATGACAGCAACAACAAAGCCACCACAGTTACACAATCATCAATGACCACAACTAATGGACCTTCGGCAGGTATCATCATCAATGGTTGCAAGAAACGCAAACTATATCAACCACAACAATCGAGCAAAATGCTCAACACAAGCAATGGCAGTATAGACACCGAAGACGATATGGAAGATGATGATGTCGGTGATGGTGATGTACTTGACGATGATGATGATGATGATGATGGTGATGGTGATGGTGATGGTGATGGTGATGATGATGAGGAAGCTAATTCAAATAAACGTCGTCGACGATCATTGATCGGGGTCGAAGACATTACAGCTGGTGGTGCTACTGAAGCCGAACTAGATGATGAAGGATATGACGAGAGTGGTATACATCAAGAACAACAACATCAACAATCGTTACGACAACGTCCGCGATCCATCGAACAACAACAAAAGTCAAGTGAGTCAAATGTCAATATTAATAATAAGGAATTGGATCTTTCATCCAATAACAACATTAACATCAACAAAACAACAACAATAATGAGTCGCAAGCAGTCACTGGCATGACTACTACCGGACGTACATTGAACAATATGAACATGGAAAATGCACAGAATTCTTCATCGTCAGCAAATAGTAAACGAGCTCGTATTTCGGATTATGAACGAGATTTGAGCAAATTTCAACAACAACTTTTTCAAAAATATACAGCCCTTCAACTCTATCAACAACAACAACAACAACAACAATCAAAAGCCAATCAATCGACAAATGGCCGATCGTCGTCAACGCCGTCATAATAATAATAATAATCCACAGCGTTCTAGTCCGGTTACCAATGTCATGATGATGAACACAATGATGTCAATGAACAACAACAATGATAATAATAACCACAGTGATTGTGATATGATGCAAATGTTTGCGGCTGCTGCAGCAGCAGATTCTTTTGGTGGTCACATTTCACCATCATCATCATCACATGGACAACAACAACAATTATCATCAGTTTCAGAAAAATTTTGCAAAATTTACGATATGGATCTATTTGTGGAAACAGTCACATCACAAGTGATACAATCAATGACAAGAATTGTCGCCAATTCAATCCGATCACAATTGGAAGCTCAACAACAGCAAACACAACAACAGAATCATCAGCGATCATCGTTAAAAGATCAAAATCATACTACAGTCCCCAAACTAGGAGCCACCACCGATCTTTTGGCTCAGATGTTAGACGCTAAATATTCACGTCAAATCAAAATGGCTTCATCTCCCAACAACAATGGTCATCATAAGAATGGCCGTGATACAGCCGGTAGTCCGTTTGTGATGGCAGCCGCTGCATCATCATTGGAAACTTCACCAATCAACAAACCATCATCGTTTGTGTATCCACCAAACGCTGGTGGATATTACGGCAAACAAGCAAGCGGTGTTTATGGTCGTGATACCCCAGTGATGATGGTCAATATGAACGGAGTTCGCGATACGACTCCCGCGTCATCAGCGTCCAACGTTTATGGTGGCCGAGTGGTGGATACAACTGCAGCTGTCTCACCGGTAATGGCCGCCGAACAAACCGAAGCCATTTCATTGGTGGTAGGACCAGCCAAAAAACGTCGAAACAAAGTTACCGATTCACGATTGCCAGTCCGTACACCTACCCGGATCACGCGTAACGTGAATGATGACCATATACGAGAAACATCGTCCGTAAGTCCACCCATATTGACCAATTATCCAGCCGCAGCTGCCACGGCCAACTCTTTACCGGTATCATTGGCTAGTCTTCAACATGCAAGCGAATTTTTCGATCCAACCACAGCGGCGGCCACTATCAATACGAGTGCAAAGACATTTCCGTTTGCTGAACAGGCAGCTGCTGCCCGTCTTGCTGGAACATTGTTCAATGTGGACGACGTTGATCAACTGAAAAACAGTCTGACTGCTTCGACCAATGGTTCTTCAATGAATGGTGCAGCTACCGGAACCGATGCCGTCGCTAATGCAGTAGCGGCAGCCGCTACTGCTCACCATTTACGTATGTTTGTCGCTAGTCGAGCTTCACCCGATTCGATGAGTGGTGGTTACGCTGGAGCAGTACTCAGTTCGTATGGTCGTGGTAGTGGAACCGGCAGTGAAAATGGTGGTGATGGTTCCGAAACAAATGATACACAATCCATCTATGATCCATCGATGCCAATGATATCCTTTTCAAACAATCAAACAGCTAGATTTCATTCAAATCCATTAACCGATTCAATGTCCTTAACTTCTTTGCACACTAGTACTTTATCCCCTATGCATCTTAGGAAAGCCAAACTCATGTTTTTCTATGTCCGTTATCCCAGTTCATCGATACTGAAAATGTTTTTCCCAGACATCAAATTCAACAAGAACAACACCGCACAATTGGTCAAATGGTTCTCCAATTTCCGGTAAGTTGGAATTTCATTTTTTTTGCTCCAACAAAAAACATTCGATGCATAAAACCCAATCGCACACACACATGAGAATCCTTGTACGAAACAAACAAAAATTACTGAGAAGTTTGGGTGTTTCTCTTTGTACACACATAGTGATTGCTTGATTGTCGTCCTATCCATCCATCCATTCTTTGGATGGCAATCATTTATATTCATAGTCATGTTTTGTGGTTCGTGTGCCAAACAGATAAAAAGAGCCAGGTGTTTATCACGAGAACGAGAATATACCGCTTTCTCTTTCATTGTGGTCTTTGATCTGTATAACACACAGCTAGCTAGCTGGGGTTCACTTTTTATAATGGCTATTATAAAAATAATAATAACATGCTCGACCTACACACACACAAGACTATTGGGTTCCAGGACCCTGTTTTCATTGACGATGGATGAAACAAGAAGAAAACAGAATATGACACGAGTAATGCAGTCGAGGTCATATCGGTAAGTCGGTTTATGTTTTTTCTCTCTCTCTCACTCACTCACTTTCCAGGCTCTTTGTTCCAACAATACACACACATACTGGTTGTGCTCCTGGATCTTCTCGCGCTAGTGATCCAAACAAGTATTCCCCTCCATTCATTGTGTTTGATGAATATGATGTGTGTGTGTGTGTGTGTGTGTATTGCCCACGCAATATTCACCAGCGAGGCGATACCAACATCAAGAAAGCTAAACGGGAGAAACCGTTATCTTATTATTGTCGTTGTTATTATTATTATTATTATGGAACAGTTGGTTCGCGCGCGCGATACAGCCGACAATCTTGTTGTTGGTTGGTTGGTGGTTGCTTGTCGTGAGTCATCATAGATCCATGTCTATCATCATCAATCGTAGACGAATTGCATATGTGTGTGTGTGTAGGGAATGTGTGTGTGTATAGATGCAAGATAATAGATAGAGCAGAATGAGATGCCTTTTGTTTGGCCATTCCCGAAGAATACACATAAATCGACGGACAAACGAACGAACTGAGAACGGGACTGAGGCAAAACTCTCTGGATTCGGACGACAATCCAAACATTCAATTCTTTTGCATTTTCTTTTGTCTAGGTTTGGTTGGATTCATTTCATTCATCCATTCACTTTCTCATTCTCTGCTTGTTCTTATTATTTATTGTTCGTCTTTCTCTTTTGATTGTACATCAGACTCGTTTCAGTTTTCGGTTTTCGCTTCTCACTTTTTTCTTCAAAAATATACAACCGATTTTTTTGTTTTCGTTCGTTATTCGTTATTCGGTCACTGGTAATGTTGGTTGAAAACACTGCTATTATTGCTACTTTACGTATACAGAAGATGTGGTCTGTACGGGAGAGGGAGAATAAGCAAAAAGAATCTATGAATGTGCACATCATCATCAGGGTTGTGTCAATGTCTCAATGATGATGATGATGATGATGTGCTTAGCTAAATCGATTCTAAGAATCAATGCATTCAAAAGACCGATTTTGGGATGATGTTTGCTTGTGAATGAGATCCAAATGTTTCTATGCTTACACACACACAGAGAGAGAGAGAAAGAAAGAAAGACGAAAGACATCAATGACATTAATCAATCAAGCAATAATAAATTTGTTATTACAGTGTTAGTATGCTATCAACCAATATCCACATAGACACCACGACCTTTGACTGAGTCATTAAATGAATCTCACGAACAGCAACAGCAGAAGAAATAACCACCATCAGGTCGTTTACAAAAAGGGTTATTGCTCTTTTCTCTCTTAGAGTTTCGTCTTAACTTGGTGATGGATGAAAAGGACAAAGTCGATTTCGAAAAAAAGAAAAGGTCACATAGGTAAGCCCGGGTTTCGGCTTTATTTCGTTGGTTAAAAATGCTAACAAGACTTGCTTATTGGCAGCATCTGCATCTTGAAGCACCTGGTGACTTATGTTTGGAATGTCTGATGTCTATTTTTTTTCTTTATTTTGCCTTCTCCATTCATATCATTGCATTGCTGCTTGGTCGTTTAGATTTCCGTGACAACCGGCAGCCATCATATACAGATACATACAAACAAGAGAAAGATGAAAGATGTTTTCGAGTGCTAAGCATACTATTTCCTCCTCTCCTTGAGCTTGGCTTTTGTCATCATCACCAATTTGAAACCATGAAGAATGTGCAATCAAAAAACAAACAAAAAAATGAGACGCGCGACCCAACCAACCAACCAACCGATCGAGCAGAGACGAATGTCTTGGCCCTTTGGTCGATTGGCTTTTGTTTTGTTGTGTTGGGGCCTGCAGCTAGCCAACCTCATGTATCTATTGTTGGCTTGGCCTAGTTTACGTTTAGCACACACACACACACACACACACAAGATCACTTCCTTACCCGACGTCTTAAGTTGGAACTTTGTCTCCTTTTTCGGTTGAATGCTGTTCAGATGGCGGAAATGTATGAACAATTCAATTGAACATTGTTATTACAAAAAGCAAGGTGATTCGGATAGCCATAATCTGCCGTCTTGACAGATATCACAATAATCCCAATGTCTTTCTTTTCACATTATAGCCATGTGAACGATATGTGATGAATAATAATTGTTGGATCTTTTTTTTTACCTACAGCGAGTTTTACTACATTCAAATGGAGAAATACGCACGACAAGCATTGAGTGAAGGTATCAAAAGTGCCGATGATCTTCATGTCACTGATGATTGTGAATTATTACGTGTTCTGAACCTTCATTACAATCGAAGCAACCACATTGCGGTAAGTGATACACATAATTATATTCAATCAATCAATTAGCCAGTTGCCATCATCCAATCACTCACCACATGTACATTTCTTTTTCATTGCTGAAAGCAGATCCCGGAGAATTTCCGTTCAGTGAGTGAAACAACATTGCGTGAATTCTTTAAATCATTGCAACAAAACAAAGATACGGAACAATCGTGGAAAAAAGCCATCTACAAGATTATCGCCCGTCTTGACGATAATGTACCCGAGTATTTTAAGAATCCAAACTTTATGGAACAATTAGAATGACAATCAGTATCCATCATCGATGATCTTGAGTGATCACCGTTATTCATCCCCATCATACAATGAATCAATCAACAAACTCAATCAATGCATTGGTTGAGCAATCAACAGCAAATTGCCATTGTGTAATGATGGTGTGGATTTCCCCTTAATCATTGAAATCATCATCCTACTTCCTCTCCCTTTCCTCTATCAACTAGTCCTCTCTATTATATTACTGTTTACAACACACATACTACACACACATCCAACATTTCGTTCATCACATTCCTCTCTCTAATCATACCAGTCATTTTCTAATCATCTAAGTCTCAACAATCACACACACACACACACACACACACACACAGATTACACAATGAAGGCACATCCACCAACAATCTAATCGATAAGCAGCGATGAGTGTACAAAGACTAGTCTCGAAATGGACATTCAACCAGCCACACACACACACACACATTATCACAGATCAATCATCTGGGTTTTCGGGATTCATCAGACATCCACAAAATTGTTAATATTTATATAATGAACCCCCTAATTAATAAATCACCCTTTCTAATCCCCGTTCGTTTGTTGCACCCCTTTGCTTATATTATCCACAGTTGCATAATTGTTATTTCCAATTTTTCAAACAAAAATAATGATAACCCTTCAATAACACAATCGATTCTATCTAAATCGATCGTTATTTATATAGATATCAGACCATTTTTTCTGTTAATTTATTGCCGATTGGCTTTCACCTCAGATATTATGCTTACTATATCATCCACTCATCAATTTATCACATTTTGCACAATCCATTGTGTATCTCTTCACCAAAAAACATTGTCCAGATTGATCCATTGAACAAAAACAAAACAAGACAACAAAATCAACAAAAACAACAAAAAACAAAAAACATACATTGCGCACATTCCATTCTGTCAATATAAATGAATCGATTATCATCTTCAGACATATCCTCCACAGACAAACAATGATATTATTTGTCATTTGTCATTCATACAAATATTTATTCACTTCACTTACATTCAATTTAACATTTAACATACATCAATAACGATTTGTAGAAACGCTTTATTCCTAATTCTCACAAGATGAGGCAATGTATTCAAATTCAATGATTCACCTTTCCAAAGCAAATCGTTCAATGAATCTCCAACCAAATGACGCGTTCAATGGCAATTCCAGACCTGGTAGTCGCGGCATCAGGCTTTCCGTTCAACTTCGCTTAGATGGAATAAAAAATATCCATCTGTTTCATTAATACCTCGGCATGGTTATTTTCAACGTATTTCATTAATTCTGATTCATATTGTTCCAAAAAGACCTTTTGTTCAAACGAGATTACCAAACGATCAAGATGTCTCTATTGCTTTGTTGAAATTATTCTCGGTGGTCTTTGCTGAGAAAAACGGTAGGCCTGACTCTTGAATCTACCATTATCGAGATTTCTCCATTCGTAAATCATTTTTGCCATCATCAACTTCTTCAGGACAATCTCATTTTCATTCCAATGTACAACACGTTTTTCACTTCGTTGTTCAATGACATCGCCAATCACTTTCATTGATTCACTTCAATTTATACGTGAATGAATGAAACTAACAACAAATTAACCTGGTGATTGCCGCCATTCATTCATTCAATTAATCATCATTCAATTTTTAGGACACAAAATTAATTTTTTCTTTTTTGCTACATTTACATTCAATTTAACATTTAACATACTATACTATTATTTATTATAAATTATAAATTATAATTATAATTATAAATATAAATAAATAAATGTTTTGAGAAATATTGAGATTCAAAAGAAATAAAAAACAATTATCGTTATCATCTCATCGTTCCACATTTATTGTTTAAGATTGACATCCGATTCTGATCAACAAGTTGTTTGTCTTTACTCAATTGATCCATTGTTCTATTACAATTGCCATTGTGTATACGTTCCATCCATCAATCGATTGTTACAACGACAACAACAACCGACAATGATAAGAATGTTATGAACGATATTGGTCCTTATAATCATCAATCCAGTTTGATCTCAGGAATTACATTGTTTTGCTGGCTCACTTCTATTGTCTTGTTTCGCTGTTCTCGACAATACGCCCAACAATTGTGCATTTGGCGATTAGCGACAAGCAGTCTGTTGTTGCCTGTTATCGGCAAAAAAGACACTCTGCAAACTAACCAAAGATAATGGCGTCAGCTCCGGAAACAAGTTTCCAATCGAAGCAAACAAACAATAAGTTCATTTCATTGGAAAAAAATCAAATCAAATCAAATAAAAGTATACTAGTAGATTCCCCACACTCACACTCACACTCACACACACACCGAAGTTCAAGACGAATTTCACACATTTGTAGTGGCCCCCAATAGTTGGCCATTTCCTTTCCTTCCTGCCTGACTGTTGTGTTGTGTTTGTTATCGCTGGTCAAGTCCATTGGCATTTATCACTATCTCATGACGCCCATAATGTTCATTTGCTCAAGCAGATGTACACAATGTCTGCGTCTTCATCCGATTTAAACTTGGAGATTTATCAAAACTTCGCAACAACAGCAATAAGACTTTGTCGCACGTTCAACATGACCATAATAAACGACAAAAGCACCGACGATATCGAATCCGGTAACATAAGATAGACACACACACAAACACACACGGCTATTGCCATCATTTTTCCTTTCCTTTACTATTTGCTTTCAATGCCATTCAACAATATCCAATGTATACAACATTTCACTCATAGATGTCTCTAGATATCGTTGTTTATATCATTTATGATGAAATTTTAGACTCGTGTCCAATGTTTACAAATTGAATACTTGTTCAAAATGACCACCGAAAATGGTAACAAAGAAAATGATGCCTGTAAAAGCACTAGCAAAAATCTTACGCCTAAAGAACGTTTGGAAATGTTTCAATCGTCTATAAACAAACTAGAACATGAAAGCGAAATCAAAAATGTTCGTCAATTACTTCATGAACGATATTTGCAAAGCAGAACTCAATGTCAAAACAACAATCAATCGACAACCGATACTGCAGCAGGTAAACGTTCCAAAGAATCCCAAGATGTTAAAACAACTGATGGTAAAGTCAAAATGGGTCGGCAAATGGCTCGGGTTTTTCGATTCGGAACTAACAACAATCAACTAAGAAATCGACGAAATCCACGGCAGCTACAAGCTCGAGAACATGAAGTCGATCCTTTATTGAATGATCCGAATATTCTTTTTGAGAATTTCGCTTTCGACAATGATGATGAGGCCGAATTTATCGATCATGATGAACACAGGCCAGATTTACCATTCTTTCCTGAACAAACCCATAATGAAGATGATGATGATGACAGTGAAGATTCATTTCGATCACTCATTTTAAGTGCATTCCGTCAATTAACTTGGCGTCGTTGGTCATTCTGGATCATCTGTCTGATATTGTATGCATATGGCCAGTTGCAAGCTAATCGTTATGGATTCGGTGCACCATTCCTTATTGTCGCATTGCTGCTATTTATTATAATCAATTTACGCCGAAAAGCTCCTGGTGAATTGAGTGCATATTCGGTTTTCAATCCAAACTGTCGCCCTATTCCAACAGTCGTTTCGCAAGAACAGCCTAGAGAACAAATCCTTCTCGGATTTGGACCATTATGACGAATGTGATATTAGTGCAATCGAATTAATAAATTTTTACAACTCATGACAATTTTTATCATACAAGTTACAGTCAGCCAGTACATTAAATCAGATAGGCTTTGTTTATTTTAATAATTTTAATGATTCGATTGTGGCTAACAATTCATTGTATGGCTTTAACGAATAAATATCCACGGCCAGCTTTTCTGTCAACTATGAAAATGAATAAATTAATAATGGTGAGAATAAACAACAAAACACATGGAACTTACTTGTTTGCCGAATGTGGTTACATCATGATAAATCTGTAACCGTATCTTGTCATCATCGGACATGCCAGATTGTTGGCTCACAACATTAGCCACCATGGTAGAACCGAGTCCTTTGTGTTTTTTCAATTTTTTCAGGCTATCTTCGGTTTTTTGTACCGAAGTCAATACTTCCAACGTGCAATGTTTATAATGTATTGTTAAATCGTTGAGTATATCGTGCAGACATTGATTAGTGTTGGTCACCATACCAGAATCGTTGCCCAACATTCGCATACAATCGACTAGTTGCCCTATGCATTTATCCACATAGCTGGAAGCTTCTTTCGGTTTCTCTTTATTTGTTCTTCGATATAGGCGAGGTATATCGTTAACCTGGTTCATCCAAACTTTACATTCGCTAACAATTTCATTTCGCATCAACCAGATCACTTTATCAATGGCTGTCGATCGAAAATCGGCAACAAATTCATCAAACGAACGGCGTAGAGAGCCTTCCTGTATCGATTGGTCGGTCAGTCTTCGTACTAAACTGATCTGATAATAGTTTAACCAAAGTGGTTCAATCACATTGTTGAATAATTTTGTCGATTCACTAAGAAATGTATTTGAATCGGCAATCAAAGCAATCATTGTTTGACGAACTAATCTTTTCGTATCACTGTCTGTGTTATTTATCGATGATGATGATGATGATGACTTTTTGACATTGATTTTGGCCAAATCGATTGCCATCAACCAAGTGGTGAATCGAGACAATACTTTCAGTGTTAATTTCCAACAATAGATAAACATGTCACCCATGTTACAATATTGGTCCGATTTTGGCCAACATTCCATCAGATGGTCATGAATCATTTGGCTTACATTCAATCGGTATTGATTTCCTCTTTGATCATCTCCAGTAACGAACGAATAGGCCAATTGATCGAATTGATTTTCCATGTCAGAAGATAACTTACGTAGTTTCATATGGAAATAAACGTTTAGCTTGAATTTTGATTTTAATCGTTTATAGCTTGATTGTTGCTCAAATTGAAACATCATATCTAAGATGCAAGTATGTCGTACGAATTGTTCAACAAATTTAATTGTTAGAAAATAGTTGAGTTCGAATGTATCCAAATCGGACAAATCCAAAAGGATCGGTGATCGCACCAGAAACAATTCGACGAAAGGATTCCAAACGGCCGATACGACCAAATCGAATTTGAATGATGCGAATTGCTTGCAAGTGGTCAATACATGGATCCACATTGACCATTTCTTTTCGATCAAATCGATTGTTCGGTTGAATATGGTGGCCACTTGATTCGATGTGTCGATTATCTCCTGAAAACAAGGCACAACAATACGATTTTGGATCACACGTTCCAATTCCTTTTGATTCTGGCCATCAATCAAATACAAAATAAACATTTGTTCCAGAGCAATGGTCAAATCGTAGGAATTGGGTTCATTTTCAAACTGAATCAGCTCATAATTGAGTAGATACAAAAGCTCACTCTCAAGATCTGCATGGAATCGTTGAGTTGCACTTTCGAAACGATTTAGAAGATTCGACAGAAACGGATTTGTCATATTGGTGGCCTCATCGGACCGAAGACAATCGAAATTGATATTTAACCGTGAAATTAAAGCAGAATTTTCGCCTAAACCGGGATAGATATGTAATCGTTTAGCTTCTAAATTATCCTTACATACGGAAATTCGATTGGATTCGATTTGTTCCAGATTAGCTTCGATTCTATCCAGATAATCAATATTTTTCAGAATTATCGACAGTTTTCTTTTGTTCTCACGAATCTTTTCAAGTCTGTTTTGCTTGGCAGTGATCGAAACGATTGTTTCATCGACCTTGGATCGAGTATGGTCGGTTTCATTTTGGAATTTCAGCACAGGCGTTTTGATGTTCTGAATCAATTTATCGAAGCTGACCAGATTAGCTGATAGATTGACGAATTCAGTGTAATCCTCATTGATCAGATTGACCATTGCTTGTTTGAGCAATTTAAGATAGGCACTTAGATGTTCTTTCAATGTTTCCAATGATTGTACACGTTTACTATTTCGGCGAACAAAGCCATCGACACTGAATGTTTCGTTCAGGAAGTTTTCATCCACAAAACAATAGTATTCTGGAACATCAGGGATGAATGGTTCACGGTGATGGCCACCGTGTTCCATTTGTTTGCCAACATGATGGCCATTCATTTTGTTGACAATTTATGCCGAATGTAAATAAAATCACCAGTTTAGAGACACGCGATCATTTGATCAATCATCAAAAGGCTGCCGTCTATCTTTCAAAAGAAGAACTAAATGAACAATTTTTATGAAAAAAATGAAAATTTTATTTGAAACTGAATTGCTGAGAATAAAATTACAATTTTACAATTATCATTTGAATTTGACACTTTTGACCGCACGAACATTTATGCCCGTTACTTCGCCACCATATTTTTGCACTTCTTTTCGTGGTTGTCGTACCTGACCTTTACGTCGGATGACAGCCTTTTCATATTTCTTTCGATATTTCACTCTTGGATTTCGTTGCTCTCGTTTTCGTTTCGGTGTAAGGCCTTTATTCTTTTCCATTTCGTAGGTGATGGCTCGTTTCTCTCCTATATCGGTGATCATTGAACTCTGCTGCTCATCATCATCAGATTCATCATTATCATCGGCAATTGACTCTACATCAATGTCTGGATCAAGTATCGAATCTTGTTTGGCCATGTTTATTTCGGATGCTTTCATAAATCGAATGGGCCGTTTATTTTTGATCGATTCTACTGCAAATTCAATTTGTCGAGAAAATTGGCCATTTTCCTCAATCCAATCATCGAGTTGTTTGATCAATTTTTTATATGAAAACAAACGTTTTATGATTGGATGATCTTTTACTATTTGTCGATCGGTTCGACATTTCATTGATAAATATAACGAGATGTGTGCACAATAATTGGTCAATAATAGCAGTCGTAAGTTTAACATGGATGATGCTGGATTTCTAGTTGAATCACCTATGGATCGATCAAGTTCCAACACCAATGGTTCGAGTTTATGGTTAATTTCATTCATATAATGTTCGAAATCTGTTTTTAACAGTTCCAATTCGGGTGATTCTTGTCGCACAATGGCTGCTTTTTGTGCATCAGTAAGTCCAGCCGGTATACCACCAATTGTCGTCGTTCGTTCGATTGATTTGCTACCGATGTCTTCTTTAACTGTTGTTGTTGATACTTTTGCCGATTTTGATCAATGTTATCCAATAATAAATCGATACCTAGATCTTGATCACTGATAGATTGCAATAAACGTTTCTGGATCTGTAAAGCTTCCTCTTCTTCATATTGTGCTAGATCTTGGTCGCGTTGTTTTTGACTACGATAATCTTTGTCAATGTAGTCCGTGTGATAGTAAGATTTTTTTTCCTTGCCCCAGGCTTTCACATTTGGCAGACCATCATCATCGTCATCGTCATCATCTTCGAGATCACTGGCCATTTCATCTTTTTTCATTTCAATTTTGAATCGACTAAAACGATCATCATCATAATCGTCATCATCATCATCGTCTTCTTCATCATCTTCGCTGGCAAGAATTTCATCTTCACCATCATCGCTCAACAGATCATCATCTTGATGGCCATAATCGACTTGACGATCATCATCGCTTGAATCACTCATTATAAAATGAACATTTAAATTTAAATTTTTTTAAAAACTTTATTTTTATTATTATTATTTTTTTCTTGCAAAAACAGCATGTGCGACACATAAACACATGTTACAAAAAAATCAAGTACCATTCATAAAGAATGTTTTTTTTTATTAATTCAATGCAACAATGTTGTTGATTGTGGTTTTATATTTCGATCATCCCAGGATTAGAACATAAATTAACATTAATTAATTAATTATAAATCAACAGTGTTTGGTTGAATTTGTTGTGTTCATGCAAGTGTGTACGAATAAATGAATGAAAAAAAAGTAAGAAAATCAAATTAAAATCAAAAATATGACCATCATCAGTGTCATGTGTGTGTGTGTGTGTGTGTGTTTGTGTAATATGATAATGATGATAAAAATAATAATAATAAAATAAAATTAGCAAAAACAATGCACAGAACAATTTGTTGGCCAAAAAACCTATACCCATTTCATTTCGAATATTGGATGAATGAATGATGACAAAGACATTTGATGCACGGTAACTGGATAGTTATCACACACACACACACACTGGCACAAAGACAAATAATCAGTTAGGCTCTTCGATCGGTTTTAGATCTCTTATCTGTTTGATAAGATATGCTTTCTCCTCATTAAATTGTTCATCATCGGCACGATCGGTCTGGAATTTGGTTAGAAAATCAATAAGTTTATCCTTGTTACGTAGAAGAATATCAAGAATCGGTTTCGGCTTGTTTGGATTGGCAACGAATACTTTGAATACATGAAAAGCTTCAAACTGTATGTTTCGGCTACGATTTTTCAGCATTGTCATCATAAGCTTTAGATTATCCTGTGAGCTAATATATCGAGTCATTATGGTGAAATTATGACGATCCAATAGTAGTTCGCCCAACAATTTCAATGACTGTCGTTTAGTGACATAGTTTTCCGAATTCAATAGCTTTTCGTAGCAGGTAAAAAAACGATCATAATTAGTGTCAAGAAATTCGGCCGACAATGTTTTATGTCTAGTCAGCAATTCTTTGAATGTGGAAAAGGCATCGGATGCAATGTCGAATGTGGACACTTCGACATAGTTGAAAAAATTGTAGAAATCATTCGAGTATAGCATTATCTTGGCCAACGCTTCATAACGGGCACATTCACGTAACATTGAGCCACAATGTAATGCAATATCATGTTTCTCATAGCCACGCATCAATGTAAACAATATGTCCGATTTGGTACACATATATTCAACAGTCGGCGATCTGGTACCGATTTGTCGTCGAAGTATGTTGTTGAATATTTGCGCAACATCTTTTTTTGCTTCAAATTCAATTCGGCTTAAATTGTTGATCAATTGTAGCAATAGATTCGTGTTGTATAATTCCTGCGATAACTGAGCAACACCAATGTCGGTCTGTGGTTCGGTATCGCCCGTTCCATATAACATGTTTTTGATGAGCAACAAATTTTTCGATATATCCTCCTGTGCCTTTTCCGCTTTCTTGTCACCTTTTTCCAGGGCCAACAATGCTTCCTGCAAACTCTTTATCAATTCAAATGGACTTTTCGTCGATTTACCGAATAATGGCATGATTACAATCGATATCACGGGGTTAATGGGTCAAACAATACTTGTAAACGTTAAAATAGATCACCAATGGTGATGTTGATGATGAGAACGATGATGTAATGTTCGACTGTTCATTCGTTAATGATCGATACATTTGTTTTATTATGGTTGTATATAATGTTATCGTTTTGTTTTGTTTGAGCTTCGAATCAAACAAACTTCGCCAATCGATATAAACAAAACGCACACACACACACACACACACACACACAGACACGGAAGAGATGTTGTTTTTGAGGACCAGAAGCTATATGGATGTAACCACCAATAAGATTTACACGGACAAAACAGAGACATATAATTTGGATTCACTTTGCCATAATCATTACAGCGAATGAAATATCATTATCGCCATAAATAACAAAAATAACAATGCACCACACACTCAATTGAATTCAATATTAATTTTCGATGCTATGACACGACATAAACACTGTGTATACACAAATAAACCACACCACCAATACGAGTACAGCTACAGCTGTCTGTATCTTTTTTTTCTCTCTTTCTCTGTGTTTATCGGTATTGAATGATGATTAGTGATGAACGAATTCGATATTGCCGCAACATTACGGGCGTGATTCACTTGCCAATCAAATATTGAAATCACTTTTTCTCAATCATTTTTGCCGTACACAGAATTTCATCATCATCGTGATGCACAATGCAGCTTTCCAATCATCAAATATTATTATTATCGAATATGATTGAAACAGTTTAACAAAATGTTCAATGTTGTCATTTGTCAATTTGCCATATATGACATCTATGAATGTCTATGAACACGTGATCCCAGCATTTTGATGTATCGATTGATAAACTTGATACAACGGAATAATAATGCTTTATCTTATTGGCCTAGGTCTTGGTGACCACACTGATATTACGGTCAAAGGATTGGCCATCATAAAGAAGGCCAAACGAGTTTACCTAGAATCATACACATCGATCTATTGTGATGATGGTATCAATGAATTGCAACAATTCTATGGTCGTCCTGTTATTGCTGCCGATCGAGAATTTGTCGAACAGAATTCTGATCAAATATTGGCCAATGCCGGTAATGATGATGTCGCTTTTCTGGTTGTTGGCGATCCATTAGGGTGAGTCAAATAACTATTTAATCATACTATATATTCACATTTTTTGTTTGGACTGATAGAGCTACTACCCATACTGATTTGATACTTCGAGCACGAGAAAAAGGCATCGAACATCGAATCATTCATAATGCATCCATTATCAATGCATGTGGTTGTTGTGGACTACAGCTGTACAATTTTGGTGAAGTTGTATCTATCCCGTTATGGACCGATACATGGCGACCGACAAGTTTTCTGGATAAAATTGAAGCCAATATCGATCATGGTTTACATACATTATGTTTACTCGGTAAGTTGATTGTGAAATGAATTATTAATTATGAATATGAATATGAATTATATATTATTATTGAAATTGAAATATTTTTGCTTGCTTCTTCAGATATCAAAGTGAAAGAACAATCGATAGAGGCAATGATGCGCGGAAGGCAGGAATATTTACCACCAACATTCATGGCCGTTAATGTGGCTGCCCAACAATTACTTGAATCAATCAAAGAGAAATCAAAAGAAAAGGCGACCAAGCTAACGGCCGATACGATATGTGTTGCATTGGCCAGAATCGGTAGCGATACACAGAAAATAACAAAAGGTAGCCTCATTCAGATGCTCAATGTGGATATGGGACCACCATTACATTCGCTAATCATTGTCGGGCGATCATTACATCATATCGAGAATGAAATGCTTAAATTGTACAGCATGCCATGATTGACATCTCCAATAAATCATGTTGACATTCATTCCTTTAATTTGATTGCTCGTAATGCATCCTGTTCGAACATTTCGAACGACGCTTTTGAACCATCATTGAATGAATATGATAGACCACCATCAATGACAATATGAGCATCGGTCATCCGAGATTTGATCACAATTTTTCGGGCAAAATCTCTTGGATTATTGGTGAAATTTGTACCGAATACGACCGGATCACGAATCACATACGCCATCAATAATTGGGATGGTGAATAAATGAGTGAATTATTGAAGCGATCGGTTACACGTTGTACCAATTGTTGATCACTTGGATCCATAGGTGGTGGTGACTGTCCGTTGAACCGTTCTTCATTGATTATATTGAACAGATTCGAAACACATTGTGGCGTGAGTTTGTTAATGTTGAAAAACCAGGATGTCGAACCGGTTCCAGTACATATGGTAGTGCCAGAACTTTTGATTTTGAACTTGGCTCGATTATCGATGGCCATTTCGAAATATGATACCCGTGAAGAAAGAGATTCTCCGACAAATACTTCGTTCAACGCCAGATGAGGTAACACTCTACGTCGTCGACCATTCGTTGATTTTTTAATATCGTTTACTTTAGTGGATTTCCCAGGCAATTGATGTATGTTATCGAGATCCCAGAATCGACATTCTCGTTGCATCAATTGTTGATCATGAAGCTCGACTGGATCATTGAAGGCGCTTTCTCCTTCCAACGTGATTCGAATTCGTTGACGAAAATCCCATTCAAATCGACCAGTAAGGATTGCATCCAATGCACGATCAAAACGATTCGAATATCGTTTATCCAGACATAGATGTCCAACCGATCTGGAAGGATCACTATTCACACCGATTAATGGTTTACCATTGTTTGGTATTTTGTTTGCCGCCAAAAGATAGGTTCCATCACCACCTGACGTTATGATCATATCGGACCAATCGATCAATTCCTGTGTATAGCCGAATCGATTGACAACACGACATTCAATGTTTCGTTCCTGTAAACATTTGACAATATGTTCTCGATTGCCCACATGAATGTCATGATGATATAGCAATGATTTATAATCAGAACCATGATTCTCGAGCTAAAAAACAAAGATTACATTCTAATGGTCAAATAAATAGAAAACCATAAAGCTTACATGTTCGGCAAGTTGTTTTTCACTCAAGTTGGCATTACGATGTTTTTCAAATTCTAAACGGGAAAATTTACCAACAACTAAAACTTTTTTCGGTCTAAATGTAGCTGGATTTGGGAAATGATCGACAATCGATGATGACGATGACGAACAATTCGTATTGCTATTACTGGCGGTAAGGCTCATTAAATTCTTTATTTGTTTTCGGTGATGAATCACTTGCAGATATCGACTAAATAACAAGGACGACCGTGATGAATGTTTGACAAATTCAAATAACAGACGATGATCACAACATGATCTAAGCATAACAAGATTCTACAAAGAAAGAAAAAAGACAATGTAATCATCGAAATTGATAATTTGCTCATAAAAAAACTACCGTTACCATTGGAACAAAATATTAGCAAGCTTGCTAGGAAAAAACAAGTAAATCTCATGAAATTGGAAAAGCGTCAGTCAAAGCAAATGGGACAACAAGCAATATATAGATCACAAATGTAGAAACCCACTTTTTCCTTAATCGGAATGATTCGATAATGAACAGGATAAAAATTGCAGCAACAACAACAACAACTGTTTGATTGATAAATACAAATTCGTTTTGGACAATTTAATATTATCAGTTGTTGTTCAGATGTTCAAATGTATTGCAGTGCTTGACATTCAAAGAATCTGTGATGTTAAGAAATAAGATAAATGTTAAGATACACATACATCGATTCGGTATTTGCATGTATGGCATGCAGAAATTGATTCCGATTATTTTTTTCCACGATACTGTCACATTGTTTATGAATAGTGTTATTATTATACATACATTGATTAAAGTGCCAACTGTACTAAAATAATGAAAAAATTAATATAAAAAAATACTAGCCAAACTGTGTGAGATATATGACATGACAAATAAAAAAGCCGTATAACCATAACACATACAAATATCATCGTTGTTCATTGCCACATTGGATTGTTAATCTTTATTTGATCTTAATTTTGTAATGAAATAATTAATTCCAGAAAACTATGAGATTGAATTAGCAGAAATCAATATCATTTTGATGCTTATTGTTTGAATTGAACCAAAGTTTTTTTTCCTTTCCAATTTCGACCATTTGTTTTCTATGGATAATAATTGAATGATCTAAATAAACAATTCGATAATCACCAATTCAAATGTTGCCTATATACTCTTCGAATGATAGTAAATTTAAAAATTTAACTTTCTATCGAATCAAAGAAAAAGTTCAAGGATGGCTCAGGTAAGTGATTCGCATCAAAGAAGCATCTAGTTAATTTTATTTTCTTTTCTTTTCTTTTCGTTCTACAGGCTAATCTTTTCAGATAGAAATTCACGAAATTTGTTGCTCTTTTTATTGCTGAATTTTTCGTTTGCATTCGTCGAATTATTCTATGGAATATGGACCAATAGGTGAGTTTTATTTGTTGCCTTGGATTGATTACCGATTGCTTATTATTTTACATTTTGTTCAATAGTCTGGGATTAATATCTGATTCGTTTCACATGTTTTTTGACTGTACGGCATTAGTTGCCGGCCTTATAGCATCAATAGTTACCAAATGGCGAGCCAATCAAGCATTCACGTATGGGTATGTATGCATTGTTATGTGTTGATTTTGTTGATGAATCAATGAATTTATTTAAATTTCCAATCCTCAGTTATGTACGTGCTGAAATTCTTGCTGGTTTCGTCAATGGTTTATTCCTAGTGTTTGTTGCCTTTTTTATATTTGCCGAAGCTATTGAACGTGCGATCGAACCGCCAGAAGTGAAACATGAACGTCTATTTATTATATCCATACTCGGATTGTTCGTCAACATAATCGGTATATTTGTGTTTCAACACGGTGGATCTCATCATGGTCATTCCCACGGTGGTGGTGGTCATGGACATTCACATTCATCACATGATCATCACGAGCATCATCATCATCATCAACAGCCAGAAATGACCAACATGATGAATAGTGATCCATACAATTTTGTCACTGTTAATGGTCATCATCATTCGGCTAAAAGTGTTGGTTACAATGATCCATATCAGCCTTATCAATCGTCAAATCACAATCATAGTCATGACACTGGTGGTGTTGTTGCAAGTAGTGATCATCATTCTCATTCACATTCACATGGTGGACCTACTAATCAGATTCTAAAGGGCGTCTTTCTACACATTGTTGCCGATACACTGGGTAGTGTTGGTGTCATTATATCAGCATTACTGATGTCACAATTTGGTTGGATGATTGCTGATCCACTTTGTTCAATGTTTATATCATTATTGATTGTGATCAGTGTTTATCCATTGCTTACCGAATCTGGAGCCATTCTTATGCAACGACAGCCACGTGAATTGGATACGATACTCCCGAATTGTTATCGACGGGTAATATTTGACTATCATTTGTTTTTATTATTATTATTAACTATATAAATTGATGAATTTGTTTACCATTATCAGGTGACTCAATTGAATGGCGTGACAAACATTCAGGAGGCACATTTTTGGACACTATGTTCGGGTCAATATGTAGGAGCATTGAAAGTGGAAATGCGATCCAATGGTAATGCTGCATCGATCGTAAGTCAAACGCATGCAATCTTTCAACAAGCGGGCATCAAAAATCTACACGTGCAAATCGATTATGTATGAATGAGGATGCTATAGAGAAAATTTTGAAAATTATTGAAAATTATTTGTACAAAAATATTTACAACAATCATTTTGGATGACATATATGACCTTAGCACACACACACACACACACACACACACACCACACTCATACATATAAAAAATTTCCATGAACAATTCTAACGATAATTTCTTTTGTAATGTTTGTTATATATGGATTTTTTTCTATGTCCAGTTGTGATTTATTATCAATTTTTAAAAAAAGAAACCCAAAAAATTCCAAATTTTTTATTTTCTAAATGTGAATTAGTTTTGCCATCTGGCGACGACTCATATAAAAGATTTGAGTATTTAAACAAATGTTTATTGTTTTCATGGCATTATGACGTTTTCACTTCAGATGATTTTTCTACAGATTCGAAATGAATGGTGAGTTCGTGGTCTGAATCATTTTAGTTGTCCATAAAGAATTAATAGATGATAATTTCATTCCTAATCAGATCAAGCAAGTGATTTATTCGATTATGAAAATCGTGAACGGGTTCAAAACCTATCACAAAAAGTTGCTTTACTCAAGAATGTAAGTTGTTTTCATTGATTTTTCATGTCTTCTGATCTTTACCATTGTAGTATGCTGTCGATATTGAAAACGAGACTAAACTTCACAATCGTTTATTGGACGATGTGGTGAGTAATTGATTTTTTAAATGAAATTTGGATTTATTTGATCATTACAATTCATAGGACGACGATGTTGGCAGTAATTTTGTTTTCCTGAAGAATACCAGCAGTCGTTTGAATCGTTTACTGCGAACGAATCGAAATTCGAAGCTAACCTGTTATCTAGCAATGGGCATTTGTTTTCTATTGTTCATGATATATTTTCTATTATCATCCCGAATGCAATGACCATGATAATTGTCGGACAATCTATTTTCCATTCATCATCACGTGATAATCTCATTCTTTGATTTCATTTCTTTATCATAATGTTTTAATTATATCTACCATTGTTCATATAAAAAAGGGATCAGACCCATGATTAAGAAGTGACTGATTTATTTTATTAAAATCTTGTTTGTTATTCATTAAAAGATGAATGAAATTATAAAAAAAGTGAAATTCTATCACAGTTATTTTATCTGTTGATGAACAGATGGCAGCACTTTTACAAATCAAATACAATTTAACTCGTAATTTTTAAAAATGATTGAAAACTGAATTATAAATTCAATTCAATCAGTTCTTTATTGAAAATAAACAAATGAGAAAAACATTGTCCAACGTATTGAAAGAAGGTATGGATACTTTGTATTTGCCAAAATATTCCGCCATTTATAACGCTAGGAAACAATGAAGCAATCGACAAGTTGTCAATAACATAAGCCTTGTTTAAAATATAATCAATAAATATACATTAGCGAATTGATAAACACAAAATGAACAAGAACAGTGAATGAGAAAAAAAGAATCCAATTGGCAACATTCATTCATTCATACAATGTAAACAGAGTGTGTGTCTGTGTGAGTGTGTATGTAATGAGACAATTCTGGCAAAACAACAAATGATATAAGATTGGGTAATGATCACAGAGAATTGTATGTGTGTATGTCTTTTGAAACATTGAGTTATTTACAGAGTGTTTGATTTAAATTTGTCGGTCAATCATACGATAAGATGAACACGGGTTTGATAGATGGACAAACTGGCTGGCGGTTGTGTGACTAGTCGTGATCGTTTTTTTTTTGATTGAATATATAAATGTTAATGAACAACGATTGGATTGATAATAATTTGGATCACGATGGTCGATATGAGCATAATATTCCAGAATGTCCAACTACTAGTGGCTAGTATCGATGTGGATGATGAGCTGATTTCTCGATGTGAATGGCGATTATTATTATTATTATTATTATTGAGGTGGTTATTACCACTTTCAACGATTGGTCTATAATGGGTTTTGCTTGCCGATGATGGATGATGATTTTGTAATTCAGTGGAATCATATTGCCAGAATGGAGGCGGTGGTGGTGAATACACATTATCATCACCATTATTATTGTTGGTACGATGATGGGGATGATTATGATGGTCAACATGAATCGGTTTGAATGAAGGATGATGACCAAGTATAACTGCTGGTAATGATGGTGCAGGTGGTAACGTTGGCATCAATGGTTTAATAATAGGTGGATAACTGAATTTATTGATCGGCGATTGTGGTTGTGACGACGATTGAATAGCGATACCAATCGATTGTGACTTATGGCCAGATGCATGTTGTTGTGTGTTACCGACATCCGATGGTGATGCTGAATGATGATGATGTTGTTGTTGGTGATGATGTTGTATACTGGGAGGCAGTGACAATGATGGTGGATGAGGTAATATTGATGCCGGAATGATTGGTTTCGGTAGAATGTGCCGTGGACATGATGCTAAACATTGACATAGACGGGATAAGCAGTTGATTAGTAAAAAGAATGTCACAAGCAATAAATGTTATGTCCTACCTTGTTTAGTGATTTTCATGCCAAAGATAATTGGATCCTCATCTTCGCCTCTGTTTTTGGTGATTAAGTTAGAAAAAAGAAAAACGAATGAAAATGAGATTACCTGCGTATCCATTACACATTACACATTGCAGATTTATGTTTTTGTTAATGTTATTGTCATTTAATTTAGAATTTGTCTCTCTATCTTTGTTGCTTTTTCACATTCTCATCATCAACAAATAGCCATGATATGATTCCGCAAACACACAATACACATATACACAAGGTAATGATTAACAAAAGTCATATTGTCATCATGAATGAGAGACAAGACAAGATCGAAATTTTAGATTACGATGATGATGATGATGATGATGGTAATGAACCCCTCTATGAGTTTGATTCATTCGTTATCATCATCAGGATTTGACCATTCAACAAGTGGTCATCATTAAGGATTAGTGGACAAAGACAAAGGCCAATAGAATATGGTAAGTTGTGGTGAGCATTGTATATAGTCGATTGTCTTGCGCTTTCAATTGATCATTCACAGTCAAATATTGCCACTTGAATATAGACTATTTTTGTTTGTTAATCTCTTGAAAATTAATCACCTCGATTGAATTTTCGAGTTCAAAAAAATCAAGTGGGTGTTTGATGAGCGATCGACATTAAAAAATCGATCATTCATTTCATTTGACAACAAGTGTCTTTTGCTTAATGCCATCACCAATGTTTTTCAAATGAAAACTTTTTCTCTGTTGGCAGAATTCAATTGTAGCCATATTTTACAAATTCAAAAAGACAATGTTAGTGTGATAACCTATGAATTGTATCATCAACGCTATTGAAGCAACCATCACATTTGGCCATCAACGACAATTCATCATTCATTCATTCAGAACCTAGCCACATAACTAACAAGTAGAGAGGAGGATAAAAGACGGATCATCATCATCATCATCATAGTTGAAAAAATCATTCTCATTTAGCATCATCGTCAGACATCATCTTGCTTTTGAAAATCCGACTTGTATGTATCTGTTGAGAATGAGAGCACATCATATATCAAAGATATATTTGTCAATAACAATCATTGTAATTTGTCTTCGTCTTTGGTTCATGTCTGTCGATCTATCTGTGTCTATCTCTATCTATGTTTTGGTCGGTATGTGTGTGTTCGGGCGGTGGTGGCTCTTTTCATTTTCACTCATTTATCGATGGATGTATTATGGTGATCACTATTATAACAAGTGGAATGATCGAATTTACTTGTCCAACAGAACATGTCAAATGTCAAATGCTATATTCTGTGTCTATGTATGAATGTGTGTGTGTGTGTGGTATATTGGTTTGACATGTACATACCTCAAACAACTATCTTCTCCAGCTTCTTTGATATATGCTTCATCACCATTTCGATATACTTTACCAGCCTATATGGGAAGTGAGAATGATTACTTTGATATTGCCAAATGGTTTAATGTGCAAATGGAATAACTTACGAAACATTGATGACCCGGCATATCTCTTCGTTGGGTGAATGTATACAGTACACCATCTTCTTCCCAATTTCCTAGACATCGATATTCACGTTCTAATAATAATAAATGAGAATTTTGGGATTAATCAACAATAATTCAATCGAATTGATCAATACGAATAAATCTTTTCGAATCGAAATCGAGAGAGAGAGAGAGAGAGAGAGAGAGGGAAGCATCTTAATATAGTTGTCCATAGTAGTGTGAGCGCAACAGGTTGCTAACATACTATTGGGTAATAGCGGTGATGTTATCACACACACACACACACACATTTATATTAGGTTATGCAACGCGCAACACAATAGCTAGGTAGATGGATGAATAGATGGATAGATAAAATTCATTGATAGTGATGAGATCACCATTTGAATAATGTTAGTTGAATGGTTAACCTTGAATTTGAATAGAGACATTGCATCTTTATTATCATCGTCTTTGACAAGACAATTGATTCGGGAAAAATGAAAAGAACAAAAAAATTGAACCGACCGGTGAATTGCTAACTGAGCAACAGTAGTAAAAAGCAACAACAACAAATGGAAAGAATCATTATTCAAATTAACAACCAACAGTCACTTGGAATGTATCTATTCAATATATCAATCAAAACAAAACAAAACCGAAATAATAAAGAAAAATGGATTCCCATAACCTAACGCCCATCATGGATTCTCTCTATGATATGACATCCCAGGTTTGTTGACCCATTCTGAATCCTAGCCATTGTCTTTTCATTTTTTCTTCTAAGATTCAAGGAATAATTTGGCTTGAACAAAAAAATCTACCTATCTCAATTGCTTAACACATGCAGGTAACTCAGATAACTCATGTTCAGCCAAGTGTATCCAGTGTATAATGGTTAGTATAGTGCTTTCTTGGATCAATCTAGAGACACTAATCAACAACCTTATGTTGTCGTTGTCGATGTTTTTTCTTTTTTTAGATGAGTGGACGATTCGCTTGAGCAGAGAATCATTCCATCATCATGATGATGATCGTTGTTGTTGTTGTTGTTGTTGTTGTTGTTATTGTTATGGTTGTTTGAATTTGATTCACCATCAACATTGCGATCATCAACACACACGGAGAGAGCGACTTTTTTGGAAAAAGCAAGCAACCATTTGTATAATGGTCCGCCGACATGCATGACATACTCTGCATCTCTCTCATTAAGATTAACAACGAGTGAATGAGAAAATCAAGAACCTTGGAATCTCAATCTCAAGGTTGATGTTCAAAGATCAACTCGACCAATGCACGAGCATTGAATGTAAACTTTGGCTCTCGATTCTAACTCATGTTAGGGACAGTGTTAGACTTACCTTCATAAACATGTGAACGATTCTCACAACTGCTCACACTGTAGAACATAATATCCGGATTATTACAATCTGATGCTACTTTTGCACAAAGACCACTGGCGCCCGGTACTTCACCAGTATAATCACCCGTTATTGGACATGGTGTAGATTGGGCAACAATCTTTTCCTCTGTGAATATGAAAAAAAACCAATGAAATCATTTAGTGAGTGGATGATTCGAAACAAAAAACAATCGTGCATTGTTAATAAAATAGCACATACTTCCTTCAGTGATCCATTGATTTGTGGCAAAATTACGTTCATCGCATAATTTATCATTCATTATCGAACTGCTCTTGTCGGAGAATCTAAATTCCATAATGTTTGGCGAACGACGTTTTACCCATAGACAGCTGAATGATTGTTCACCACTGTTTTATGGTGAAATAAAGTGAAAAAAATAAGCAACCATTAGCCACGATGTTTATTTCTGAATTGAAATGGCAAGTGGTGGTTGTTCGGTTGTGGTTATGGTGGAAAGAAAAAAAAACGTGCCGAACATTTCCCCCACGCCAAACATGATTATTAAATGATACTAACCATTGAGTTATGGAATGCACGATAAAACGATCATTAGCAAGATCACTTTGGCGTTGTATACAACGTGAACGTATCGTGCGAAATTGATTTTGAGCATCCTTATAGATGAATTGTTGATTATCCACTTTGGTTCGTTGCCAACGTCCTTGCATCCAATCTGGAAAACGACATTTCGATGCTTCAACCATTGGTGGTATACGTTTATTTGGTACTAAAATAGCGACAAAAAATTGAAATGAAAAATTGATCAACCAAAACAACAACAAGCTACATACACGGTGACAAGATCAATGATTCATATCCGACCGATGAATTGGACAATTGTGTTGTACACGTTGAATCCGATGATAATGATACGGTTATTTGTCCGGTTAGATGGTCTTCTTTGTAAAGCTAACAAAATTCAAAAAATCAAATAAACATTCGTTATTGTTGTCGTAATATCCAAACAAATTGTATTCATAAATGAATGCAAAAAATGAAAAAAAAACAAATTGACTTGTAGGGCGATGGCGAGCCAATTCAACATTCCATCATTAGAAAACAAAGAAAAAAATGGAATCCAATTCACAAAACAGCATCAATCTATCAATGTACAGACATAATTCAATTCTATCCGCTTGTTATATGCTTTGCATAATTATCTTTCTGATCAATCTGATCTATTCATTCACGTACGTCTCAAGTAAATAGAATTTATTCGTTTTTCTCTTATCACATGACAATTGTGATATGTGATGGAAGCAATCGAAAACTTTTTTTTTTCGCTGACCTAGACAATTTGTTTTGCGAAAAAATAGCTACCAAAACACAAAACAAAACATGATCAGACCAGAAAATGGTCCGGGCGGAGGTGATACACTACTAAACACTAAACAATCGAAACAAATTGAATTTTTCAAATTGAATCGAATTCAATCGACTAACTATAACTATAACACAACACACACATACACGCACACGATTCAAATGACGATAATAATGTTACATCATCAAACACACAATAGATTGTGATTGTGAAAACGATGATGATGATCGAAGAAAATAGCTACATCAACAAGCGGAAAAAAAAAAATTCAGCCAACCAAACAACAACAACGCAAACAATAAGGAATGGTATCCATTCTTTGTCTGGTTTTTTCCAAGCAAAATTGGTTTGTTGTTGTTGTTGTTGTTTGATTGTTACAATACAATTTGGCAATTTTCGATGTTATAATGATCGTCATCATCGTTCATAGTCGGTCGGCATTTGGCCATTTGATGTTTTCTACGTTTTTTTTTGTTGTTTGTTACAATACTCAATACTCATACTCATCATCTTTATTCCTGTATTTTGTGTGTGGCCTGAATGATACGAACAAAAATTTACTTGCATCACACACACACACACACACACTATACCAGACTTGGAAATATTTCCTTTTTTCTTCGCTTGTCAAGTTCTTTTGGAAAATGAAAAAGAAAAACAAAAAACTTTCATTCATCTACCACACACACACACATCGTAGACCTATCAATCAATTGATAGGAATTGATTTGGATTGAAAAGAAAAACTTTGTGTTTGTCTCTGTGCGAATTTTTGAGCAAATGAATATGATGTTTTGTGTAGGCGATTATGAATATAGAAAATGAAAATGTAGCAAGCTAATCTGATCAACTTGTCACACACAAACATTTACATACCCCACAACGATATTTTGGACGATTAGCTTCCGGTGCTTCACGTAAATCCATCAAGGCTAGGTAACGTTCGTTAGAGTTAGTAGTGGTAGTAGTTGGCCAATCACCCAAGCATAAAAAGTGAATGTCTACAAAAGAAATAATGAGTTGAGGATGAGATAATTGATTGGATCAAGATTGAATTAATTGTTCATTAATGAATTCAACAGAAATAGACCTACCCATCGTTTGGAAGGAACATTTACGAAATTTAACATTCAATGCATTACCATGTGGACAATTTGACATTTCGGAATAGCCAAAATCGCAACGCATTTGTTGTTGTTGTGAAGTGGAACTACCACCATTGTTGCCAATGTATGAGAAACGAAAACGGCCATTGAATGGACAGAATACGTGTTCGATCGATTGTAAACCACCGGGAACATGTTTACCTGTGTGAGCAATAAAGAAAAAAAAATGTTCTCATCAAATCGAATAGAAAATTTTCAAAACAATCATAACAACATAATGAAAACAATCTTGATGAAAATCATACTCAAATGATCATGACCTTTGCCCTTTTTTTCTATTGAGAGATATTAAGATATTGATAATGAAAAAAAATATCGATCGTCAGCGTATTCAACAATCAACATAAATAACGTAACAAAATTCTCATGTAATTCACGAAGGAAAAAAACATTTGAAATGTTGGAATGTCCTGCTTGTTTGTGATCAGCGAAAATGATAATGAGCCATCGTCCAATGTTTAATCGATAATTTATGATTATGATTATTATAGATATATATGGTGAACAGTATCCTCATCATCATCAGTGAATCATAAACAAACAACTTTATTAAATTAACCGAAACTACCTGTCGCTATCCGGAATGATTTTGGACGCTGTATGTATATTATTATATTATGAGCCATAATAAATATTAAGATCACCATCACAGTAACAAACATTTTTTCGTTTCAAAGTACAAATCTATGGGGCAGATAATTTTTTTTTTCATTCAAAATCTAAATCAAGCTAACAATCCCGTGAATACCGATGAGATACAGTAGTTTGTGTGTGTATATGTCGGAAAATCAATGTTTTTCCCTTTTTTTTCTCGTTAGCTTCTTATCTAATTTGTTTTTTTATAATTTTTTTTTCGGTGAGCAGAAATGAACAGAAATTCCAATGAAAAATTTTTTTCATCATCTAGATGTTGACCGTTCTTAATGTGCAGCAAATAAAAGACTGAATTATAATGGTGAAATAAAGATTAGCCTGTGTGTATTAAATCACTGACTGAGTATCGGGCCATTAATAAGTTGGTTTGAAAATTTATTTAAAAATTTGATTCGATTGCTGTTGGATACTTACGGAATAGGATGATCTCTTTGAATTTACGTTTCTGTTGGCCAATATCTTTATCCAATGGACATGTAGCACGGGCTGCTTCTTCATTCGTATAACATCGTTCAAGGCCATCGGTGTGTAACGATATAACATTCGGTGTTTTCATCGATAAGTGAAAACATCGTAGACAATCTTGTCCGGCGCCTGTACTATCCTTTAGTATGACATTATTACCACGACGTTTGTGACAACGGCCCCATGGTTGTATAGCATCAGCTTCAATCATCACTTCAGAATATGTAACCGATGATTGATTGGCATTGGTTTGGGAATGATCGATTTGTGGTGCAAACGCAACTAATCCTTGTGTTTGTATCAGGAATGTTCCCTGATATTCGATGGGAAAATAACAAGCCGACGCCTCTGTTATTAATTGAAAATAATAATAAAAAACGATTATTAACCATGTTCGAGGAAGGAAACGAGTGATCATTTTTTTCTGCCAAATTTATGATTCTTATGAAACTTTGCCACATATAACTAAACTACTAGCACGCACTAGTCAGGGTCATTTTAGAAACAAAAAACAGAGCCAGATGGCCATAATAAACGTCATCCGCCGATCATTTTTCAACCCTTTTTGATTTTATTATGGTATGATTTTCCAAGAAGAAATGTTTTAAAAAAAACATCCCCATTCTACCACACACACACACAAACAAACATTTTAACCTTTTTGAACCAGAGAAATAAAATTTAGAAAAAAAGGTTTGTTATTGTGTTGTGATTGAGAAAAGAAAGAAAAGAAAAAAATTCCATAACATTTATGTGTACCTGGCCAATCATCAAAAATAAAGGAAAAGAAAAACATTTCAACCAGCTCGATTTGTGTTTGTGTGTTGGACGATTTTTTTAGATATCATTTCCATCCTCATCATCATCATCATGAAATGCCATTGTCAATTATGATGAAAATCAAAAAAATGATGATGATATTCATTTGAAGCGACAAACACAGCAAAACAAGACAAAAAACGAGAAAATGATCGTAAACACATACATTAAACGAGTGATTGTGTTCACGATATTTTTTTCTGGTCTCCAAAATCGTGACACACACAGGTTTTGAAATCGAGTGGTTGACATTGAGGCCGCCAAATATACACACACACACACACCATAAATGAATGAATGAATCCGGTATGGATCATTCGTATATAATGATGATGGTTCAATGAATGAATGAATGAATGAAAGGCAAAATCCAGATCATCATCATTATGCAAACAATCAAACGTTTTGTCATTCATCCATTCATTTATCATTTGATCATTGTTCTTTTTTTTATTTTTAATGATGATATCATTACATTTATGGATAGATAGATTGATCGATCGATCAACCGATTTAATTCCAATCTAATTCAATGAATCATATCAAATTGAAACAATTGAAATGGTTTCTTGTGTGTATTTTCGATCGAAATTAAATTTAATCGAATTGAATCAAATCGAATTCAAAATAGAGGAAACAATAAACTAATCATCAATGGTAAATGAATCAATCTCCAAAGAAATAAACAACAACGACGGTGGTTAAAAAATGATTTATGTAAATTTTTGTTGATCATAATTAAGTTGGATGGATATACTGAATTCACCATCATGATCTATTGCTTAAATGAGAATTAGATATGATTATGATGACGATCATTGTGCAAAATCGTGACTTGATTCATTTTCAGCATTTAAAAGCATTTGAATTAATTACGACACTTGGTTTGATTGAAAAAATTTTTTCAAAAATGATGATGATGGTTTTGCTCTGAATATTCCTCGCACACACACACACACACAAATTGATTTATCCATTCATTCGCAACAAGTTAGTCAGCCAAACCTGTTGATTGTGTTTGTTATATTGACAGGTTATTGACAATGACGACAACGACACAACAACGATGATAATGATGATGGAACCTAGCCCTACAAATACGAAATTGAAAAAAAAAAAAATATAAGCATACGCCAAATGCAAATAAATATATTCCGTCGTCCACTTGTCATCAATGTGCATAGAGAGCAAGATAGAGAGAAAATAAATTTGATTAATTGAAATACATCAATGATGATGGTGTGGTGGATATGAAGTATCAGACAAACATTTTATATAAATAAACAACATTGACCCATGAGGACCCAACCTTTTTTCCCCAAAAAAGGTAGATTTACGATATAAATGGAAAATCAACAAGTATGCTAAATTTTTTTCAATTTTATTACAATCTAGGTAAACACAAGCAACAGGCCGGCAATCAGATCATCATCATTACCAGGCTAGTATCAATTTTCACCCTGAATGAATGAATGAATGTATGAAAACATGCGATGATATAATCATTTGCCAAAAATTGATGATGATTCAATCGAGAATGTGGCAATTTTTTCGAACCAATTCAATAAAAAAAACATATGTGCTTTTTGTGTCATAAAAAACACAAATTGTGAACAATCAATGAAAATCGATCCGTTGTAGTAATGACGAAATGCCACTCCTGATTGAAATACAATCGATAGGTAAAAAATGTTTCGGGTATAAATTAATGACTGACTTTTCAATGTGAACGTTTTTGTTGTTGATTTTTCTTTTGCTTCACCATCACAATTCATTCATCGTTGTGTGTTTGGGTTATATAACATTACTATTACTATTAACTATTTGGACATAATGGCATCAACATCGACAAAGACAAGCCATAAACAACCAATGATTTTTTATGACATTCAACTATGGTTGAGATGTTTGATTGCTGTTGTTGTTGTTGTTTTGTTAAATCGAACAAGCACACACTAACCAAACAATCATTATGTAAATGGGGAAAAAAGTTATCAATGAATCAATATTTGTTATATGAAAATGTCTTTCGATATTGAATTGAAAAAAACAATAATAACGGAGATGAATAAATTCTGATCATGATTACACAAATGACTCTGATAAAAAAGAATGAATAAGAAACAATTGAACAAAATTCTAAAAAAATTTGACAGCACCCTAACACACACAATGATGGTATTCGTCAAGCTCAAAATATCGAAATGAAATGGTTTAATTATCATCATCATCATCATCATCATCATGATCGTTATATGGCATTCCAACAAAACAAAAATCGAATCGAACATTATTATTTGGGCCATTCACAATGTTCTTCAAAAAGCTTATCTCCATCAAACTGCCCTATCACTCTAAATATGGCGAACCTATTATTTTAAGGTGTGGTACACACAAAACATCTAAACATCCATACATCGGATCACTTCATATTCATGATCATATTCAATTCATGATCATCATTTTCTTCGGTCAGTCTTATCCAACCAAATAAATCTCTCCTATACCCGGGTATAATTTGCTGATGATGCTAAAAAGCGGCATTCTTTTTGTTTTTCTTTTTTTTGATTCATGATTCTTGAGTTATGAGCATAAACACACACACACACATCTTCATCAGCATCATTCAATTGATCGATATAGATCATCGTTTTCGATACTTTATAATGATAAAATGGACGAAAAATAAAATGAAATCAAACTTCAGCAGCAACAGCAGCTGTCATCGGGGGCAATCCGAAAAAAACGAAATTCTTTTTCCACCATTTAAACTGTCATGTGTGATGTGCATAATGACGATTATCATCTCTTAGTGAGAAAGAAATGTTATAAATTTTAACCAAAAATTCAAAAATTCAGGTCGTTGTCATCATCATTGAATGAATGAATAATTTTTCGGCATCTCGCGGATAATCTTCGTTGGTTCGTTGGTTTTTTCAGTACAAAGTTTGTTTATTGGAAAAAATTTAACTAAACGAAACAGAGGTAAGGATTGATTTATACTTCAATGTCATTATCCAATCATCATCATCATCATTCTTTCACAAATATAAATCTTCATCATTCATGACATCATCAACATCATCATCGGGTCATTTGGCGCTGATTAATTAATTAATTAATTTCATTTTATTTCATTTGATTTGATTTTTTTCCTAGAAAAATTTCAACTTTGGTTGTTGGTTTCTTAGTTGTCAACGTGAATGGACAGCACAACAGAAAAAAGTTAAAAAATTAGGACATATTGAATTGCAGTAAGAATTTTTCCATTTTTTACCTTACATTTCTTGATTATCATCAAATTCCACCAAAAGAAAATAAAATTGATCGGAAGCAATCAATAATATCGACAACGACGACAATGACCTGTGGTCTTTTGATATTGTTTTTTTGGTAGTGTCAGACGACAAACAACACTGCTACAGTGATGACAAGCACTCATTATTATAAGGTCAAAACAGAAAAGAATTCACCCCGAAGGCGCTCTGTCAGCCAGGCAAATGTGTTAGGTAATGAAAGTGAATACCAGGCAACACAACAGGAAACTTGTCTGTGGTATGTATGTATGTGTGTGTTTGACCATGTCGACGATAATGATCGGTCGCGGTACCTAGAATGATTGTTTTGTTTTGGTTGTTGATGATGTTTTTTTTCTGTTTTCTGGTCAGGTTTTGCATCACTGATTTTCAAGTGGGCAAAAAACAATAATCACAGTTTGTTTTTTATTTAATCTTAGCATCATCATTCGTCAACTGATGATGCTAAGTTTTTGCAGCTTCTGTACGTTTAAAATCATCAAAAAATCGATGCAGCATCATCATCATTCACAACCTGTTGCATCTGATGCTATTAGCCATTTCCTTCCGTCTGTCTGTCTGTGATTTCACTTTAAGGATATTCTAATCCTATTACAAAAATGACACAGCATGAATATGCATTTGACTTTTTTTTCATTCTGCTCATTTTGATGACAAATGGCCATATTCAAACAAAAAAGAATCCTTAATCACTGATCAACAAACAAATCAGACGACGGAAATGACAGTCAGTTTTACAACAACAAAATTAACCATAATCCATTAAATGATATCATATCGATCCAATCATTTGTATAAAAGCCATTATAGTGTGTCTTGTGTTCCATTAAGTTGGTCCACTTATTATCAGACATATGGCCAATTCACAAATGACTCTCTATCTTTATGGCCCAAATCACCCAAAAATTATAGTGTGTGTGTGTGTGTGTGTGTGTGTGATGACGAAAACATTGATGAAAAACAAATCTATAGGAATTGAATAGTTTTCTCTCTATATCACTTGATGACATATTTATTGTTTTCCGTTTGTTGTTGCCTAGCTAACTAACCAATGCGCAAAAACTAGCGACAAAATCTTTGGACAAAAAACCACTCTCTATCCTCTCAAGTCAGCATTTTGATGGCCAGAAAATCTTGAAAGAATTATTATCATTATCATTATTATATGCTCGATAACACAGACAGGCAGACCATATGCTGTGTGTATGCTCC